AAGATGTATTCTGAGTACACGTTAAATAAGATGGGCGACCAAACACAGCCTTGCCTCACTTCTCGTAGTATATTCACTTGTTCTGTGTGACCGCCATCCATTCTCAAAACTGCAGTCTGGTTCCAATATAAGTTTATAATTATGTTTAAATCTTTCTGATTCATTCCTATTTGCTTCAGTATGTCGACCATTTTATCGTGTTGGACTCGGTCAAATGCTTTTTGATAATCGATTAAGCAAGCATATACATCACAACTGACATCCCTACATCTCTGAAACAAAACCTGAACACCAAATAGAGCCTCTCTTGTACCGACGGCGTTCACAAACCCAAACTGGTTCGGTGAAATCTGTTCTTCACAAAGTCTATATATTCTTTTGTGTATTATCTTGAGAAACAGCTTTAAGAGATGACTCATCAAACTTATTGTTCTAAAATCATCGCAGGTTTTGGCACTTGCTTTTTTGGGCAGTGTGATAAATTCTGACCTTAACCAATCCGCTGGAATTTCTCCTGTTAAGTAGATGTTGTTGAATATTCTAGTCAGCCATTTGATTTTATCCTCGTTCAGTAACTTTAGGAATTCAGTCTGTATTTGATCTAGACCAGCTGCTTTCCGTGGCTTCATTTTTGAAATGACGGCTCTCACCTCGTCCACAAGAATTTCCGGTCCCTCTCCTGCAGTTGGTTTTTGTTCTTTGCGTACATCATGGAATAGATTCTCCTAATATGTTTTCCAGGCTTCCTTCTTTTTCTCCGCGTCAATGATGATTTCTCCTGCTTCGTTAACCAAAGGTTCACAGTTGTTTTTGTGGCCTTTCCTTGTTACTTCTCGGATTTTCCTGTGAACATTGAAGTCATCGTACATGTTTTGATGGTGTTCGATCTCGCGACATTTTTCTTGTAGCTCTTTTTCTTTCGCTTTCCTTATTTCCTGTTTTATAATGCATTGTATACGTTTATATTCCGTTGGATTTCCTTTATTTTGTCTTCTTTCTTCCATCAAGTTTAATATTTCTGTCGTCATCAAGATTTTCTCTTTATTTTGTCCGGTTTCAATATTTCCTTCTTTACTGTTTCTACTGCTTGCTTTAATTTGTTTAGTTCCATATCGACGTTGTTGTTTTAATTTGGCTGAATGTTGTCGTTGAGCATTATTGCTGCTGCTTCCTCTATTGCTGGGGTTTTGAGTCTCTGAAGGTCATAGTTTGGAGTCATCTTAGTGTTGACCTTCTTCATTTTCACCCTGAATACACCAACCAAGGGACAGTGATCTGATCCAATATCAGCTCCTGGATATGTTTTGAGGGATAGGCAGCTATTTCTAAACCTCTTATTGACTAACATAAAGTCGATTTGATTTCTGACTATTCTTCCCGGTTCATCCATAGGTGCTTTCCACGTATATAATCTTCTTGGCGGCAGTTTGAACCAAGTGTTGATCACTACGAGTTCATTTCTTACTGCAAAAACTTCAAGTGTGTCCCCTCTTTTGTTTCTTTCACCTAGTCCATGTGATCCTATAATGTCTGATGTATGACCTTCTCCCACTTTTGAGTTAAAATCGCCCATTACAATTGTGATATCATGCTTCTTCAGTTCTTTCAGTATATTATTGACAGTTGTGTACATATTTTCCACTTCTTCATCTTCTTTATCCAGCTTAGGGGCGTATATTTGTATGATGTTCATGTCGACCGGACTCGCTCTTATTTGGATGAGTGCTATTCTTTTTGATACGGGTATAAAGGCTTTCACACACTGCGCTATTTTCTTGTTCAAGACAAAACCCACACCGTGTTCATGTCTTCCATTCGTAGTGCCTGAAAAGAGAACTCTATAATCCTCGATGTTTATATCACCAGTGTCTGGCCATCTCATTTCACTTATTCCAAGGATATTAATTCTTTTCATTTCCTTGACTGCATTGTAAATTTTACCTAGCTGGCTCATTGTTCTTACATTCCAGGTTGCTAACGATAATCCACACACATGCGCAACTCACCGTTTTTGTTTTTTTTTACTAAAAGAATTGGACTGGAACAAGGTGAATCCGATTCCCGTATTATGCCATGACATAAAAGATCATCAACCATATCTCTTACAACTTTCCGTTCATTGTAAGATAAACGATATGGTCGATAAATTACTGGACTGCCGTCCGAAAAAATCCCTTAAATCCGATCAAATGTCTTAAATCAGTTAAAAGAAAGTACATTTAGGACTTTTGTTTATTATGTGGTTTTTAACACGGTAACCTTAAATTTACTTTGGTATGGATAGATTTTGATTAAGAAATAGCTATTTATACAATAAGTTACGAAATGAGCGTCTTTTAGGCACGCGACGTGAAAATTGTCCAACGAGGCAAAGCCGAGTTGGACAACACGTCGAGTGACTGAAAGACACCGTTTCGTAACGTATTGTATACAAGATTTTTTCTACTGGCATTTTATAATAAAAAAACACAATTTTATTTCATGTGAATAAGTCGATTACACCCAAAATCTTTGTTACCTGCTTTTACTTGACACCTGACATTTTTCATGCGATTTTCTTTTCAAAATTCGACATCAATAATTAAAATCCTAGAAAGTAGGTAATAACACAAAGTTCTGTTTTGAGTAACCCAAACGTTCAATTCAGTAATTCAATTTTCAATATTCATAATAAATACAAAACAAAATTCAAATATTTTACACTTTTAGGCACTAGTGCTTAAAAATTACTTTTACGCACTCATAAGTCACTTTTACGCATTCAAAAGTCACTTTTACGCACTGAGTGCCTAAAAGTAACTTTCACGCACTCAGTGCCTAAAAGAATGTCGTTTCAAAACTGAAATGACAATCGAAAAGTTGCTATTATGAAACGTCAGTAGAAAAAAACAATTTCCGAACCTATAATCGTGTATTTCTCGATTTTGGTGTGAGAAAGTCATATTCTCGCATGCAAAATCGTTGAAGATCACAATTTTTTTTAAAAAAATGATACTTAAAATTCAAAATCTAGAAAATAGTACAAAACTCATGTTGCAGAAGGCTATTCTCGCACTCATTCGTTTGTCCACTTCTGCAACTTGTATTTCAATACATATATACTATTCTAAATTATTCTTCCAAAATTTCTTTATTGCTTGCTTATATAAAAAATATAAAAGAATTTTAGGAGAAATTTTATAAAAAGTTCATCATTTTCCTATTCCAGGCACAAAGATATAAGAAGACTCAGGAATAAAAAAACTTTCTATTGATAATTAGGTATTATAAGCATTGAAAGATGATTTATTTTTCCAATTTAAAATTAATTGTTGGATAGGTAGAATCAATAAATATTTTTCTGTGTAATAAATTAATATGTTCTACATTTTGTTTCATAGGTCATTTTAAAAAAAAAAAAAACGCTCTCTCAATTAGCAATAAAAATTGAGATAATAGAGGCTTTTAACTAAAATTAACTATTATTGGAACTGCAAAATAATTCCTACTAAGTACATGAAAGTAGATAACGATACTTATTAGTTGTGTATAATATAATTACTAAAAGTCTAAAAAAACTAACATAAATTCAGAAAATGATATATTAAATAATTAAATTGATTGCGAATATTATGTACTGTACAGAGAATTTTCAAATATATATATATTGATTTTTTCTTCTAATTAGTCAATTATGTACAATCAATCAATGTTTTTTAGTGTTCACGTTGGTTAATAAATTAATTAATGACGATATGTTAATTTGTAAGAACTAAGATAAATTGAACAATTCAAATTAGTGTCATTATTTTGTCCACAATACAAACAGACATATTGATGCTTGGAACTTTCTAGCAATTTTTTTTTAAATAAAACTATATTTTTTCAAAAAGTTTCTTACCTTGACATTAAGTAGGTACTTGAGGCAAATTCTAAAAATGTTTGTTTGCAGGTATGAGCATCATAATGAGACTTGAGAGAGGCGGATTTGATTTGTTACACTTTTTTTTCCTGCCTCATGCATATTTAATCGATTAGATCCAATTTTCAAAGAATGTGTCATTGTCGATTGCAAAGTCATTTGTAACAAAAAATTTCATACATAATAAGCTACTTAACATTAAAAAGTTTTCTTGAAGCCTGATGTGAATTAAAACAAATAAATATTGACATTAAATTTGTTAATTTGATTGTTAAATATTAACATTAATTTAAGCTCAATAACCAGAACAATTATTGTTATTATAAAATCGCTTCCTTTTTTTTGGATTTATTATTATGTAATGTAGGTACGAAATTAATTTATTGTGAGGTATTGAAAACCTTGATTTTGACTTTACAAAGTCAAGGCTACATTTCGTTGTATTAAAGAAAAAAAAAAATTGTACCTACCTATAATAACTTTAAACAATTGGTCATTGTTAAATTGATTGATCATGCATAATATTTAATAATATGTAATTGAATCAAGAATCAATAAGGTGTTAAATAAAAATCATCATTTGAATAATTTAGTATGTAATAATTGTCTATCTTAATAAGTATGTAGTCCTACTAAAATAATGAGATTTAAATTTTTTTTTTTTTGTGTTGAGATTTTAAGTGTAAATGATCATTTCGACAGAAAAGGACGTCAGGATAATTGAAAAATTAAAAAATTCACTTCAAATTGCTAAACGCGATTCTATTTCTGGATCTATAAGTCCAAATGAATTGAAATTTTTAAGGATTTGTAGTCCTTCAATAGGATAAAAATCGGTGAAAATTTCAGAAAAATATTTATGTTTCAAAGTTTTCACCTTCTACCTTAGTAGTATTAAAATGATGAAATTTCAAATATGTTGAGATTTTAGGTTTAAATGATCATTTGGGACCTCCCAAACTCCATACACTAAATTATTCGGGAACTGAATGTCTTATATCAATACATTTATTGTATAATAATGTGTTAAAATTCGAATTTCCTATAGACGCGCAGGGTATTTCTGAAAAATTAAACAAAGTTTTTGACTTTGATTTAACAGTTTTATTTTAGTTGACAGTAGCAAAAACGTTTATACAATTAAATTAACAGCTTGACAATTTGACCACTCCTAGATAGTTCACTAATCCTTGAACAGCTGATACTGATCGAACTGATCCTAGTGTTTCCGTAAGCAGCTAAATACCCATTCTACCACACTCCCCTTCAATACTTCAAACTCGCAAAATACTAAAATACAAGATTAAATACTGAAAAACAAAGATAAATAAATGAAAAATTCTACAAAATAAAATGTCTAAGAAATAAATATTTCATTTAAAAGTTAAAATACAATATAGGTAAAACATTTTTAAGTTTCTAGAGATTTACAGCTGTATGCAACGTCCTCTTTTAACTTAAAAGCGCTTTTTAAAACTGGTACCTTTAAAAATTTGTATGTCTTGGAATTTTTAAAAATGACCAGTTTTAAAAAGTGCTTTTAAGTTAAAATACGATGTTGCATACAGCTGACAATGTTTAATAAATTTATGAAAAATTTAAATTTATTGTTTGAAAGCGATTTGGTAAACATATCAGCTTCCTGCTTTTCGGTGCAAATGTAATTTAAATTAATTCTACCATTCATGATGCTTGAAATCAATATGTTTTGTTCTCTTTGACTCAAGCCATTTTGATACAAGACATATTATCCTCAAAAACATTTATGGGAAATACTTAAAATTTCACAAAGCATTTGACATACAAATATATTTTCAGTGATGCAGGTGGAAAGAGCAATACATTCTCCCTCAGCACTAGAAAGTGAAACTATATTTTGCTTTCTAGTTTTCCATGATACAACATTATTATTCAACTTGATAATATTACCTGTAATACTTTTTTTGTCGTTAATACAGTTTGCAAAATCTGAATCAACATGATGTTATTTTTATATTTGTATCAGAATCAGAATGTTTTATATATTTTAGACCAAGAGACTTTATATTTATCAAATATTTTAACACATTAACAGATGATTCCAATGTTCATGAACTGGCTGGAATAAGATATGCAATAGTTTAAATCAGCATTACATACATAAGACACATAAGCTCCTTGTATGGTAGATTATTTATTACATTAGCATTAGGTGTGCTTAGATTAAGTTTAGGTTGCATTGGAGATTCTGATGATTTACAATCGAACATGTTAAATTTATATAAAATTTTATCAATCAAGCTTTTTTGAGTGATATGCAATTCGTTGTTAACCTTTTTGATTTTGCAGTCCCAAAAAGTTCATTTCTGTATTTTTAAATAGCTTCTTTTAAAAAATTTAGACAATTCTAACAATGGAATCAATACTTTTTGAAGTTTTCGAGATTAGAATTATGTCATCAACATACAATTAAAGGAAATGCTCATTGTTATAATATAACCAAGAATCTTTCGTAGACCTTCATAAACCTAAATCAGTAATGGTTTTGTGAAATAGGTTATTCCAACATTTGGGTGCCTATTTGGGGCCATATAAAGATTTGGTTAACTTACATACAAGGTCTGGAATAACGTCAAGACCCTTGGGTTGCTGCATATACACTGGTTTTTCAAGATCTCCATAAAGAAAGGCTGAATTGACATCCAGCTGTCGCACACACATCTCTGACTCAAGATAGAGACCTAACAAAACATTTTGGCGAACGGTGCATACACATTTTCATCGAGTTCACTCTGAAGAAAGCCACGAGCCACTAAACGCGCCTTTTCCACTCCTTCATTAACACTTTTCTTCCGAAATACCCACTTCGAATCTATGATCTCTTGATGTTGAGGAGATGATACCAATTCCAATATTGACATCTTTTTCATTGAATTCAGTTCTTCTTCTATTGCTGTCTTCCATCCGCTCTCCTTTACTGCTTTCTCATAGGTCTGTGTTACATCTTTTATTGAATTTCCAGCTGATAAAACTGTCATTAAATTTTCTTCAAAGTTTAGGTTGTAGTCGTCTAAATATCGTGGTTTCTGTCTAATTCGGGTACGCTGTTGTTTGTATTCATCACTTGTTATTTTTTACTTTTCTGTTTTCCCAATTTCTTCTATATTTTTAACATTTTCTTGTTTTTCTTCTTCCAAATCTTCTGCTGTCTCATCCTTTATTGACTCAATTCATTTATGTCTATGTCGGTTACATTCCTCTGATTCTTATTTTCATTAAAAACTACATCTCTTGCATGAACTATTTTATTTTCTTCTGGGTTCCATAGCCTATTTCCGTTATCAGAGTATCCTATCATAATCATCTTTCTGCTTCGAACATCGAGTTTAGTTTTCTTATCTTCTTTTGGGATTAAGTTTTATGCTTCGCAGCCAAAAAGTTTCATTTTGTTGAGATCTGGTTTATATCTATATACCAAATTTCTGCAGGGGTTATATTATTTGGTGATACACTTGTTTCAGTACGATTCAATAAGTGAACAGCACATCTCACAGCTTCTCCCCAAAAGATTTTTGATAAATTTGAATCCACAATCAAACATCTTGCAATATTCATAATATTTCTGTTAAAAATCTCTGCAACACCATTTTGTTGGGGATTTCTCGGAACGGTGTATTGAATCTGTTAGCCAAGATATATGCATAGATTTTTAAAATTTCTAGAATTATATTCCCCACCATTGTCATAGCCGTAACCTTTCTATTTTTCTTTCAAATTTGAAGAAAATATTATTTATAAATTTTTCGAATTTTTGTGTTACCCCACTTTTCTGAGCAATTAAGTAAACCACACAAAAATGAGAGTAGTGGTCAATAAAACTTACATAATAGTTGTTTCCTTCATGTGTTGCTGGATTGATGGGACCACATACGTCGCTAGAAAATGTTTCTAAAATTATTGTTGGCTTTCTGAAATCAGGTATTCTGCAGTAGGGTTTTTTAATCTGTTTGCCTTTCATGCATATTTCACATATTCCGGGACTAGGAAATTTTGCTGTATGTCCCATTTTTCTGTGCATCAAAAATGGATCTTCCCTTCTGGCACAAGCTGTTTCACATTACCAGTTCCTTTTAAAATTTCCATTTTTTCCTTTCCTAATGATAGCTTCATTATTTCTGAATAAAACTTCTAACCCGGCTTCTTCTAATTTTCGAACTGACAATCAATTGCAAAATAATCAGTCACAAACCCAAACGTTGTTTATTATGATGGCCTGATGGTTTCCAATCCAATTTTCATGTTCCCTTCTTGCACAGCTGCTCTTATAGAATCAGATTTTGCTAGATTAATGCTATAATCAATAGCTTTTGAATCAGTGATATATTTGCGAAACTTATCTTGAACAAGATGGTTTATTGCACCACCATCTATAACAAAATCAATTTTTGAATTGTTAGCTGTACTTGCCTGTTCAATTATCGTCAAAACTGAAATCGGGTTACAGGGGCGCCCGCAGAAAAATATGTAGGGGGGGTCAAATTCAATTGAATAAATTTTTATGCGTAAAAAAGCACACTTCAGTCTAATTAATCATCATAAATAAATATTTATATCAAAAAACTTAAAACATTCTTTCTATGTATCTAAAAAATTACCAATTCGAAGATAATTAGGTATGCAGGGTGACAATTTGAAAAGAAGCAATCGGCAATATCTCTTAGACAAAAAATACTATCAGGAAGATCTCAAATACGTATTGGGGGATTGGAGGGGGAATCAAAATGAGGTACTTTTTGAACCTCACCCCTTAGGGGGTAGCTACCCTAACTTATTTTTTTTTTTTTAAACAAACCTGCCTTGTGTTGCACATCGTTCGATAGCTCGTTGCTTTCCTTTTACCGTCTTATAGCAAAATCTTAAATTGTACGAAAATTTTTGAAAAATACACTATTTCCAACAGTATTTTAGAAAGCTTCAATTGTATTTTAGAAAAGTCATTTTTATTTTACCCGGCATTACACGCGCCAAAAAACTTATGTCGTTACACGCGTTCGGTCAAATCGACCGACTGCCAAAAATTTTATATGAACTATTAGCTTTTCTCACGGAGATGATCCCAAACGTATCCTGAACGCTAAGGCATGACCTGCGCAGGTTTACTAATCAATCGAGACATGAAACTTTCAAATATAACCTGCATAAGTCATGCCTTAGCGTTCAGGATACGTTTGGGATCGTTTCCGCGAAAAAAGTGTACAAGCACTGTAATTCCTAGAATTCAGAATCATTACAAAGAGAATTATATTATGCAGTATAGTTACCGTATTATCGACAGCCAAAAGTACTCTTAATATCAGAAAATGCCAATTTTGAGCACACATATTTTAGATACTCAGGTTCACGCGCCTACTCAAAAGCACAGACTATGAAAACAACGAACTGGTCTTCAACCAAAAACCAAAATATTTTTGGGCCAATGGGTAGTGGAAAACCTGCATCAGGCATTCCTCGATGGAAAAAACTGCCACATTTGTACCAGTGGCGTAATTACTGATATTATCCATAGTCGGTCTTTTTGACCGACACGCGTGTACTCCCGGGTTAAGAAATTTATTCCATTATTCATATGGGGGATTTCTTAAATATAAATGACTATTCTAAAATACAATTGAAGCTTTCTAAAATACTGTTGGACATGATGAAGTAATTTTGACTATCTCTAAACAAAAAAAATCTGCCATAAAAGTCTCCGATACACATCGACCAAATAATGTGTTTATTGTAATTCTATTTGTTTCCGCATGCCTCCAAAGAGGAATAAAAAAACCTTTCAAAGGAGGTATCACATGAGGTAGTTTCTCATTATACACCATTTCAACCTCAATTTCGGAAAAAGTAACTTTTATTTAGGAAACCGTAACTTCAAATTCGGAAAAAATACATTCAATTACGGAGAAAGTAATGTTATTTTTCATAGAATAGGTATTTTGAATTGATTGAGTCCGTAATCTATTTAGAAAATCAAAAAATTTGTCCATATTTCTCAAAGAGACCTGATTTTTAAACTATAAAAGAGAGAAAAAAATACCAAGTCTACATAGAGGATGACATCAAAAACGAAATAGAAGAATCAGATATTGAATTAATAGATCCAAATAAATGAATATTTATAAAGGAAAAAGAATATTCGAGTGACATCAATTTATCAAGACAAAATGTTATTAGGAAGTTTCAATGTTACACTTGCAATGCTACATTTAAAACCAAATCAAATTTGAAATATCATTTAATAACACATTTGGATATTCGTC